CTCTCTCTCCCAGTGGCACCACTGATGTATTGTGTCACACAAAAAGGGACCAACTCTATCTCTGAGAAATCCTTCCCAACGTTACTCTGCCCCCAGCTGTCCTTCACAAAGCTCTGTCAAGTAGCTCTCTCTTGCCACAGGGATGCACAAAACAAACCACCAAAGCACCAGGACCTAAATGCAGCCCTGTTTGCAGCGTGGCCTGTCAGACAAGTGAAATGCAGGGCACTGGTCATGTTTTATGGGTGTCCACAGCATTATAGAGTGGGCATGCATGAGGGGAAAAAAAAGGCTTTTAATATCCCCCCTTATCATTCAGAAATACACCAAATGCTTCAAAGTCTATCAGACTCTAATACCTCTCACATCACCTGTTCCTATGTTTCACTACCCTCAAGGTAAAACAGTGTTTTCTTGTGTTCAGCTGGAATGTCATGGTTTTTAATGTGTGCCCACTGTCCCTTGTCCTGTCAGTGGGTAGCACTGAGCAAAGTCTGGCTCCCTCTTCTTCGTTTCCTCCCATCAGGTATTTATACATATGGATAAGATCCCTCTGAGCCTTCTCTTCTCCAGGCTGAACAGTCCCAGCTCTCTCAGCCTCTCCTCATAGGAGAGATGCTCCAGCCCTTTAATAATCTTCTTGGCCCTTTGCTGGACTCTCTCCAGTATGTCCATGTCTCTCTCGTACTGGGGAGCCTGAAGCTGGACCCAGCACTCCAGGTGTGTCTGACCGGGGCTGAGCAGAAGTATCTTGAGCATGGTCCCTACACATACTAAGAAAGTAGTGAGTGGAAACGAGACTTTCACCCTTTGTTCAGATCCAGTCGCTGTGCTGAGTGGCTGAGTTGGTGTTAGGTGATGATGAGTGATCCCTGCAATAACTGATGAATTCAGACTGCTCTCTATTGGAAAAGGATTTGTATTATCAAAACCACTGTCCCAAGCGCTGCCTTTTGCAGACTCTTAGTGAGGAGGCCAAAGGCAGAAGATTTCAGGAAAACAGGCAATCCTCTCCACCTAGATGTTGGCAGTGAAATGTTTTGGCAGAAGAGAATGCCTCTGAAGAGTCTACTGCTTGGGTCAATACCCACAGCACGTCATACCTCCACGCAACCTCATGAGCTTTCCGTAGCTGTCCTGGGAGAAGAAGGAATGGCTTGGGCAGTGACAGAGATGCCTTTGGCTGCTGGAGAAACAGCCCATTTTCCAACACAGAGTGTCACAGTGTTAGGACTTGGTGCGCATTTCCCGGTGAGCTCCCAAGTGTGTAAGTACTCATGAGTGCTGTCGTAAAAAAAATCACAGCACAGTTTGCCCATACGTTTGTTTCAGTCCCTTCTAGAGGATGATATAGCTCAAGTGCATTCATCTCTGCAAATAAGCAACATTACTTAATGGTGTGGGGAGGAAAAATGTCAGAAAGGGACCACGCAAAACTTCTCCCAGATATGAAATGGCTTCTGGTAAGCTGTGTTGGTTTTTTTGCTGAACACCAGCACAGAAAACAACTAACCAAAGCATTTCCTTGACCACAATAAAAAGCAATTGTTTCACACACTAAATTCAACACATCCTTTAAAACCGAACGAGGAGGCTAAGAATACAAATAGGGTAAGCGTGAATCACGAGGGAGTGCCTGAAAAACCGTACGGCGGAGGACACGCACAATATTGCTGCCTTCCAAACAAAGGTCTCTATTGCTTGTAGTAACTCTGCCACCGCAGGTCAAAGCCACCATCCTGCAGGGACCCAACCCGAAAACCTACGCAGCTAATGCCTGACGAGCTCTCAGGAAAGCACCTTTGCTCGGGAGTTAATACCTCGCATTACAGACAACGCGGTTCACGCACATGGCGTCACTAGCTATAATTAGCTGGCGAAGAGAACCAGATGTGCGTTACCGCTGCTGCCACACAGACGAGGCTACAGGAGACGAACACAACCCGCCGCTGCCGCTCGGACGCGCTGCCCCGGGGCCGTCCCCGCCCCCGGCGGCGCCTTTCCCTCCCAGCCGCCCCGCTGTCGCGATACCCCACAGCAAGCTTCCCAGCGCCTTGCCCGGGCACCCTCCTCC